TACACACATTTCAAAACAACTTTGGTAAGAACTATGTTACTCGAAACAATTTGTTCAAATGGGATGTGGTTAGACTTATTATGGAACTGGATACATTTAGCAGATATTTTAACGAAATAAACGACTAAACGTACTAAGTTTTCTTGATTTAGTTGCGTTCATATCACTCAAGGCTCAGCATGATTTATGAAATGTTTCCCAGTAAAGCGTTACTCATGAATTCGAAAATTTGAATCAAAGTATCTGATCCTTAACTATAGCATTTAAAAGCGCACTCTGTCATTAAAATTAAGTGAAAAAATTGCTTCTTCGGGAGAAGATGTGTGGTCGCGTCTCCTTCAAATCAAATCAACTATTTCAGCCGAGAACGTTGTTAACTTGATCGCATAGATTTTGCCACAATTTTCCGGTGAAATAAGTGCGATTGTCAAGAGGACTCAACGAGAGTATATTGTAGATAGCTAAGAGTGAATTATGAAAGTTCTAAGAGACCTAAGCTCGTTATCCTGTATTAGCCATAACATCAATCACAAATTTGAAGAAATATCACGATATTTTAAGAGATCTAAATCCAAAGCAAACCTTGTCAATCCTCCATCATTAGATATCTTTACAGACAGAAGACATGTCTCGATAGAAAGCGAAAATTACGGTGGTCGTACACTACTACCCTTCCTATAGTTCCAGTTGGAAACTTAAACGCCAGCAGGCTGCAGTGATCGTCAATTCTTTTCATAAACACCTCAGTAATACTTAGCGAAGGAGTTATTCTACCACAACGTTACGCTTTTGTCAAATTTTCATAAACGATGGAACAAATCTAAATCTACTTTGCTTCGTTGCGTTCTTCGTTTGCATTGACGAATTCGTCTATCTCATGCATAACAACCTAAGTTGTTTGTGAGAGGTCTTTTTAAATACCATTCATTATTTAGAGATATATTTATATAAATGATTGAACATACACTTTTTTGCCCTCATCCTAAAATTTCTCTATACAAAGATTTGCAGAGCAGAGCAAATAAATAGTTTAAAAGACGGAGAGTTGTGACTCAATCTACCCGGAAATTAAAAACAGTCTCTGTTGATATTGACATGCGACGCTGAAGGCACGAAGATGAGAATCTCGAAATGTTCAGAAGCGTGTTAAGACTGTTAACGTCGTGGATTGAAGTCACTCAGAATTTTTGAAGATAAAGAGAAGGAGCGAAACGAGGGAGATAAATTGGTTCTTCCAGAGAAAATGTGTGGTTGTGTTCTGAGAATGTTGTTAATTTGATCGCAAAGATATCACTACACTTTACCAGTAAAATAAGTTCGATTGCCAAGAGGACACAGCAAGAGTATTTCGAAGTAAGCTCGTTGTTTCGTGTAAATCATAGCACCAATCATAAACTCGAACAAATATTACCATCTTTTATAAACGTGGTCACGATCAAACACAAACCTTTTCAAGACTCCATCATTTGGTATCTTTATAGACGGCAGATATATGTTCTAATAGAAAGGGAAAGTTGCAATGGTCGCACTACGCTTCTATCAATAGCATCAACCCTTCAAGTGTAATTAAAGCCGAAAACTTAAAGGCCAGTAGGCCACAATGTTTATCGTTTCTTCTCATGAGCACGTTAGAAATGTTTAGCGAAGGTGCTATTCTACTTCAACGTTTACGCCGTTGTCAAATTTTCTAACCGGCAAATGATGAAATAACTTTATCTAATCAATGATTCTGCTTCATTGCGTTCTCATAAACGCGCAAACAAATTCGTCTAGCTATCACCATAGGAAATGATTCACCGCAAAATAATCTGACAAAGTAGATGTCTTTGATCTCTCAGTCCTGATATCAACCCCAGCCGACTCTCGAAAGTAAAAATTCGCAATTCAAAAAGGGACCAAAAGGTACAGTGCTGAATATTTATATGTAAGATGGATGCACATACCTTAATTGTGTCCACCAGACCTTCCAAAGAAAATAGATCCACTGTAGATAGAAGAAAAGCGAAGAACGCTTGTCCAATTTAGCTTAACAAAACTAAACTCGCTTGTTAGCACTTGCTTTGGTGGATGTTGATGTTGTTTCCTTAAGGGGTTACTTCTAGGGACTAATGTGCCGTCAAGAAAAAATATTTACACTTCTACGTCCAGAATGTTGTCGAACAGGCCTAGGTCGATTTCAATATCAGGAGCAAGTATTTACCTTAATACAAAGATTTTCAAGCCCTAACTGAGCTTGGTTGGATCACGGACGCCTAGTTATTTCCATATTGTAGATTATAATGTCGAGAAGAGTGATAGAGAACTAAGTTATTAACATCAACGTCACATGACGCTTCTAGACTGAATATTAAATGATCTATCGCTTCCGCGTCCGATCACTGAAACACCATTGTGCCTGCGCAGTTGCGTGACTTGCAAAACACAAGCCAGATGTCATCATTACATGGATGATAAACTTAGAACCCAGCGGGAACGTATATGCATTTAAGAATTATATCTTTTCCATCTTGCTGCCCCCAAATAGTTGTTGTTAAATTATACGAGGTCAATAAAACAGTGGAAGCGATAACTTCTGACCACGCAAAATCTTGCAAATAATGTCTTCAATCTGTTATCTTTAGGGCTTCCAAGTACAAGAAAATGCGGCAAAGCCGCCAAACCTTAAAAAACGCGAGATGCAGCATTTTATTCTTTGCGCTCGGTCGCAAGCCACTACCTATAAGGTCTCATCCTGACACATCTCTTCGCGGTGTAACCACGGTATTTGATATGGATGTAAAGATCTGATAACCTTTCATAATAACCTTTATTTAATTTCTTTAAAGTAGGAATGGACAGGCTAATCCAGTTGACGATGATCAACCGTTACAACTCCAAGAGGTATGTTACGTATTCTTTTACCGTTGAGATACAATCAGCACTCCAACATAAAATTCATCTCTATGCGTGGCCATATGGCATGCTAATGCTTCACGTACCATGCAAACAAGTTGATTTTTAAATAAGAAGCAGTTTATGCAATACTCTATAAGAACTAAGACTCTAGAGAAACCGTTGTGCTGCATCGGTGGGGAGTATAGCAAGATAATCTGTGTTATCAACAGAGTTGATAAAGTAAATTTGCCATCGAAAAGAGTTTCTAAAGCCTGATCAGACGAATGATTAAATAAGAGCCCAGGCAGGTGTAAACGCAATTAAGAATGTTATAAATTCTATTCTGTTATAAATTCTATTCTGTTATAAATTCTATTCTGTTATAAATTCTATTCTGTTATAAATTCTATTCTGTTATAAATTCTATTCTGTTATAAATTCTATTCTGTTATAAATTCTATTCTGTTATAAATTCTATTCTGTTATAAATTCTATTCTGTCTTAAATTGTATTCTGTCATAAATTCTATTCTGTTATAAATTCTATTCTGTTATAAATTCTATTCTGTTATAAATTCTATTCTGTTATAAATTCTATTCTGTTATAAATTCTATTCCCCTGCCCCCAAATAGTTGTTGCCAAGTGGAGGCTTTTAGATAGCTTCTGACCATACAAGTTCTTGCAAATAATGTCTGAAGAAGGGATGTAAGCTTTAGATCCAGATACTCTCTACGGTGGCCAATATACAACATTCTGTCGTTTTCTACTTTGAGAACCGTCCATGTATTCAGCAGACGTCTTCAGCAGAAGGGGTACCTTTGCGTAGCTGTTCGACGTGATGGACAGGATTTTTTTTCGGCTCACAATTCGAGCCTTTGCATAGTACTCTGCCGTGTGTATTGACAGTTGAAAGTACCAGATATTCAGGAAAACTTAACAAAGAAATTCATAAAATGATACTTAGTTAGTAACACTATTTTCCTTTCTCGTGTTTTGTTAGTTTGATTATATTTTAGTAAAACTATGGCAGAATTTTCAACCTCTTTGGTGCAAACACCACACAACATCAGATTTTTTATGGAAGGTTTATGTTTTATTTCAGCTGGGTACTGAAGAAACTTCGGGCTATTCTATCTGTAATGGTGGAGATGGAAATGCCCTCCCTCCAGGCGAACAGGTTGAACTGGTTGACAGGATGAAGAGACCGGAACATCCAAGTGGTATCCAAGTCAATGTGTTGAGTGTACCCATTCAGGAGACGGAACTATATAGATCGCAGGAGTCAGGTACTTGCCAAACACTTGATCTGGGTTGTGCCTGGAATCATCCCTTGCAGGAGATGGAGCAGCCAGCTTTAAGACGGCCCCGTGGAAATTACGGCTTGCTTGCTGATCACCAGCCTAGTGATGATGACTCCGTAAATGTAGTGAGTTCTTTGGGTAGGATCCAACAGCATATTGAGCATTGCTGTGGACGCCAAGAAATACGATTATGGCAAGGACAACTTGGTAGGTTAGTATTGCCTCAGTTCAATCACTATCATTAATGGTAATTTAGATGAAAGGATTTGTTTACTATACTGAAACCACATGCGTGATTTGCGTGCCAATTCGATACCCTAAATATCATTTCGGAGGAAAAAAACTATAAAATAATATTTCCACACGAAACACAATTCTACTTAATATACATCCATATTGAAATCGCCCATCAGGCAAATAGTTTTTCATTATTTGTTGTTGTAGTCTCCCATTTCAAATAAAAAAATTGTTTAACTTTCACGTAGAGCCAATCAGACCGCAGGGATAAGCAAACAGTAGGCAACAATCCTCTGTAAACCGCGCTGAAAGCTTATTTTGATGCAAATTATTTGCTAAAAATGGCTTTGAACGTTTATCTTAGTTGAATTTGACCAAAAATGCCACCAGGAATTTGTTGGTTTCATCAAAGATCCCCGGAAAGTCTGGTTGGTATAGCCAATGCGTTACAACAAGGTTGCTCTACTCATATTTAAAGTATCAAAATTTTTGTCCTTAAATAATTTACTGAAAACGGGAAAATAATTTCAGTTAGGAATTATTATGTTATAATTAAAAAGGAAACGAAATCTGTTTCGTTTTCCCTAAAATCTGTGGTGGTTTATTTACAGGTCTGCTTCACAAAAAGCAGCAAGGAACAAACAAAATCCCCGAGAGACTTATTTCATAATGAACTACACGGAAGTCGAGCGGTTTCGCCAGGTTGGCCTTCCTTTTCTTTCTAATATGTCCTAACAGCATTTATTTATTTTAATTTATTTTGAGCAGGAAGACACAACACTTTTTAAAGTGACGTGTTTTGCCAGTTTCGTTTCTTACGTTTCATTTCTATCTAATTTCAATATTGTTAGGCCGATGACAATGGAGTGGCACCAGCTGTTTTCGGTCCCGCTATTGACTCCGATAGCTTTGAATATAAGTTTGGGGTAAGGATGTATCCCAATGGAGTTGGTGACGGAAGAGGCAGGTATGTTGCCATCTTTGTCCACATGATGGAGGGTAAGCACGATGACTTCTTATCTTGGCCCTACGCTGGAAGAATCACTTTGTCGGTTTTGGATAGAAATGGACAAAGGGACAACGACATCAGCCACACTTTGCAAGCTAAACCAACGTTAGCTGCTTTTCAAAGGCCTCGAGAAGCCATTTGCCCTATTGGATATGGCCTCATTTACTTCGCTAGGATAGAACTGTTCTTCGGTCCTCAATTTGTCAAAAACGATGAACTGTTTTTGAAAATTGAGTTTTCATCCAAATGAAAAAGCAGTAGTTTTAATTAGAAACTCTTGACAGTGGCCAATTAGCATTATCAACTCAGTTCATAAAATCAGCTGCAGATTATGTTGCTAGACTTTGACAGTCTCAGCTCATTCTCTTTCTTATGGCTGACAGAATTCTAAATCGTTGTTATGTAACGTTAGATCGAACTGTTCTCTACTGGGCTCCTCGAGCCATTAGACAGGAAAAAATCCTCTAAGAATTCTCAGCACAAGTCAAGTTAGCTTAATGTTTCTTTGTTGCCACTAAAAGATCTTCAAATGGTCAAGTTGTGTTAAATTTTACGTCTAAAAAAGTTTTAAAGCGAAAAAGATGTGAAAAACTTTGATGAAGAACTAATCAAATCAAGAAGATTTAAGCCTAAGATTTTCGTCGAGTCTTTCAAATGTATTTGCTGCATGAAAAACTAGCCCTGAGGTTTTGCCTGCGGCGGGGCAAAATTATTTTAATGAAATGTGATAATGACTCAGTAATAATAAACTGTTTAATTGTTTGTAGTCACTTGAGATATAGATCGCGACGTTTCGACTTCTTACGCGTTACCATTTGTATCACGGCGATCTAATGCGATTGGCGGATTGCGATCCCCATTGTTCCGGCGAGTTCTGGTTTTCCGAGAGGTCTGACTCCGAGTTGTTCTCTCTGCGGCTTCCAGTGTTGTCTCGTTGTCTGGCTGAACAACGAAGACAGGTTTACATAGAACGATAGCCAAGCCCCGATTCATGATTGGTTGAATCACGACAACTGCCAATATGCTCTTGTCAGTATTTAGCGACAAAGTACATTGCATGAAATATTTGCGTGCTGTTTCTTTGCAATATATACGGCATAAACTCGACGTCTGGTCGTGAATTCCTATTTCTCAGTTGATAAAATACATTATAACATAGCTAGTAAATCTGTCTAATCAAATTCAATTGCGCGAGTGTGCTTCATATTCCTATTGTGCACGCTCACGACATCAGCAAACATATCCCTCCAGAAAAAAATTTTCCATCGGGTTGAAAATGTTATAAAACGATTGATTCGTACGTCATCTGTGCGTTCATCGAGATATGAAGCACTTGGGAGTTTAGAGAGCACTCAAGAAGCTAACGTTGCTCTCGGCTACGCCACGAGCAACTCTTACGTATCTTTCGTGCTCTCCAAACTTCCTTCGTGCTTCATATGTCGATGAATGCACGCTGACGTATGAACCAATTGTTAATAAAAATATTAAGCACCTCTGATTGGCCGGAAGGGAGAGAATTTTTCAAGTAACACGTGTGCAAAGTCGCAGCACGAATGCAAAGTTGTAACACGAGCTGCAAAGACTATTCGTCCACTTTAAATGCGAGGTTCACCCTTCTTAAGATCGTTGTTTTTTTCATTCCATTGATGTTATGAGCATTTGTTATCTAGTCTGTATGTGAAAGACCTTAACTGAACCTTTACCAGCTCACAGTGTTTCACAAGTTAAAAAAGATGTTTTTCATGTGTCGTGGAAATTATGCGAATTTTTTTCTTGTGATTTTCCGCTTACTTCTTATGTAGTATCCTCTGTTACGAACATTTTCTGGTTGTGACGTCATATCCAAACCGACCAAGGACAAGTTCCCGGATGGCATCGGTGGCGGAAACAAACAACTAACCAATCAATAGCAACAACAGCTAAAATGACGTAAAGTTCGTTTTTTTCCCACATATACAATTAGCGTCCCTTCTCAATATAGAGTCCAATATCCCAGTTCAGCTTCTCTGAATCTAAAGTGCACGATGAAGACACTAAAATTGTAAGGACTGATTAACTTGTTAGAGGCAATGAATTCGAGCAATAGTCCAGTGTTAGAGAGCTGCAATGCTGTCAGATGAGTGTGTTTTACTCACAGAGTAATTGCTGATTTCAGATAGGGATAAGTTTTGCTGATAATAACGATTTGATACCTGAATTTGCCGAATGTCGTAAATTTTGAAACTGTAAACAAGCCTATAGAGTCGGAGATAAAAATGTTGTGTTGTACTCTTGATAACGAACTTCTCCCTTTTTTTTTTTTCGTATGGTACTTAGTGTCTGAGTATTACAGCGACCGGCGCTTTATGCTAGGAGATTTCTAACATAACCAAATATGCCTACAGAAGCAACTTGATATGAAGAAGTAAAAACCATAGTTTATAAATTCGTCGCGGGTGAAGTACAGTTCCGAAGTCATCAGACGATGTCGTTAAAAGACTTTAAAAAAAACAGACTCTGTTTTGTCACTGAATTATCATTTTTGTCATCGTGGAAATTTTGGAGATATTGTTTAATTCGTCGTCGATCTTGAAATACGAATTATTCCTCTATTCCAGTTTCCAGAAGCTTATATCTACTGTTTTTTTCATTGTTGTTTGGTCAGTGCAGTATGATATTATTTTTCCAAACTGTATGATCATCAACATCAATTAATACCGGTAATTGATTTCTTGTTCATGGTAATTTGTTTACGAATTTAAATTATCGGTGAAGTCTGTGAAAATCCTATATTCGAAAATCTTAATATATCAGAAGTTTCGGTTTTAAAGCATCAGTCTAAAGGAAATGATCAAGGTATATATAGAGTAAAAATTTCTATATCAATTTTTCCTACCTCCATTTTGCTTTTATACTTTAAGCGAAAAACTTGGTGCAACTTGTCAATTTAAAGATCTTTAAGTGGCAGCAAAGAAACATTTATGCTATATCTATCTTTGGTATAACCTGACCTTTTCCAATAGCGAAAGCTTCTGAGAGTTAATTCTTAGATTCTTCAGGCTAAAATAAACACATTAAAGATCATATTTTGTATCATGTACTGTTAAGTCTCGTAAAGCTAGGTCGAGCGAGTGGTCACAATTATGTTGAAAGGATGATGCAAACAGATTTAGCAGTTTACATTACTTCCGTACACTCCTCTGGTGAAAGTCAAAATCAAACGAACTAAAGTAAAATACCTCGCTGAAAGATTTCAAGTCTGACTCGATTTTGTGAAAACTGATAGTTTATGAGTCAATCTTTGTCTATTGGAATGTCTTAAATCAAACTTCAAATGTTCATGAAAATACCGACTTGCTTCAGTTTTAGTATCAACTTAACTTTACCATACCACACTGAGGTCTTTAATTAATTGGTAAATAATTATTAGCGTGAATCTCCAATATTTACAAACGAAGTTGAATAGGTCGAAACGAGAACATCAACAAGAGGAATTTTAGATTACGATTTAAGCGTAAAGCAAGCGACAAGCCTTATAGCCTGTGTTACCTATTACTTTGTTATTCGAGAATATCCACTTATGGAGCACAGGCTGAACGTTGTAAACTTGATGAAGAAAAATTTAACACCGGTGAACCTTGATTCAAAACGAATAGGCAACCTTTTGGATCACTGATAGTTGTGACAACTGGTCTTTTATTGACAAAATGTAACTTAGGGTTAATTCAGGTATAGCTGAGGTCTCAAAAACATCGGACATGTTCTCGCTATAATCCATTCCACAAGAAAGTCTGCTTGGTCACCTCCGAACACACCTCTTGTGTAAACCAATTAACCCCGATCTTGTGCACAGCTGTCAATCTGATTCGATCTGCATGAGCTAAGATGCATTCTCTGAGACCGTACGCTACAAACAACTCTGATAAGAACTATATTACTCGAAACAATTTGTTCATATAGGATGTGGTTAGACTTATAATGGAATCGAATACATTTAGCAAATCTATAATTTCGAAAGAAACGACTAAACATACTTAAGCTTGCTTGGTTTATTTGTATTAATATCACTTAACGTCCAACATGATTTATGAAATATTTTCCAGTAAAGCATTACACATGAATTCGAAAATTTGTATCGAAATCTCTGTAGAGGTTCAAGAAACAGCGCAGCCAGCTCTAAGAATTGTTTCACAGGACGTGCTGTGTTTTGAAAGGAGGTGTTTTTACTCATTTCAGTGGTCTTTGCAATTACAACGATTGTACCGACGACTGAAGTGAAATGCATAAAAAAAAAAATTACGCGTTTCTGGTTGGCAGAGGACAAGTGCATTCTCATGTAACACGAGTGCAAAGTTGTAACACGAGTGCAAATTACAAATAGCGAGCGTACTAAGCTTTGAAAATTTCGTCTGTCTTGACTTCTATGATGTTTTTTCATTTACATTATTATCAATTAATAACATAATTTCTATTTCAATTTGGTGTAATGAGTACCTGTAAATTTTTCAAAGACAACAAATTACATTCGCCCCACGAGCTAGTGCAATTGTGTCGTCTTTGAAATCTCCTCGTGTTTATTAATTGACACCAAATTGCACTCGAAATCATATTATTACCTTTACTAGTCTGTAAATGTGACAGGACATTGTACGCCGCATTTGAATGGAAAGAATAGCTTTATTATTTTTAACTGAAATTTTCTGCCTAAAATCAACGTTAAAGACAAACTAAAGGCATGCCCAAACTTTTTAGCGAATTATAATTGGTTATATTATTCAAAGAGCACAGGTAAAAAGTGTTGTGCACCGCTTCTGTTGCGTTGTCGATTCTCCGTTTTGGTGAGAAAAAGGCAGATAGAGAGGTATTTGTAGGTTTATCTATAGTTTCGTTATCATCTCTGCTGATTCTAGGGAATCCTGTGCCAAACTGCCTTAAAACACAAAAATCAATCAATGTTCTCAAAGAGAGATTTGAAGATTCTGAAAAACGAACTAAATTGTTTGGCAAGGTTTCACTTTCAAGCTAATTTAAACTTTTCCTTATTATTGATATTCGGTGTTAGCGATCTGTAGCAGGGATTATTTGAAAAGAAAGCGTGTTTTTTAACTGAGCCCACCACCATCGCGAGACAATGGCTAGTGAAATAAAATTCCTAGTCCGCCAGCCTTTGTGATTATCATGACATGGCGACATCGAGACATTACTTCACCTACGAAGGGTTTTCCCCCATTTCGATTTCCTTTAAGTTGATTGGTCAGCTCAGTTCCGCTC